TACCCCTGTAAAACTCTAATAAAAATATTGCAACAGAAATTTCACATTGCCAAGAATACCCAATCATGTGCAAGAAAATGGAAAAAAAAACACCAAAACATTATTTTTGCTTTAGAGTGAATGGAAGATGGAAGTCAGCAGAGCTTCACCTCACCTTTACTAAGATAAGAGGAAACTTCCACTGTAAAGTGCAAATCCCCTTGCTAAGTAAACTGCCTATTTGTGTGTGCTGTTTGTAGAGTTTAATGAAAAAGTAACTCTACAGGGATAGTGTTTTGTGCAACTATTCATTGACTTTTTACATATATTCTAGTGTTGCAACCCAAAATGAATATGGATTCAATAGGGGTTGTGTTGCACCAATAAATACAAAATAGTCAGTAATGCTTTTTATATTTACAAGAAAACTAAACGGTTTAGTATCAACTCCTGCAATGAAATAAGGTCTGAATCAGCTGACAGATTTCAGAAGTAACATAATGCCTCATAATGCCTAAAATAAGGCCTCGATCACACCAGATGCAGTGTGTTGCGTGGCGATTCTGGCCAAAAAACACTCCATCGCATTGCGGCCGGCTCACTATGTTGTGTGGCAGGAGGGGGTATGGCGCTCCGTTGAAGTGAATGGCACCATAGCCATGCCTTTCAGCCGCAATGCAAACAGCCGCACAAGATCGCAAGGCACATTATGCCTGTGATCTGGTCCGAACAAAATAGTGAGCCGGCTGCAATGCAATGCGTTCTGGCCAAAATCGGGCCGGAAGGCACTGCATCTGGTGTGAATGAGGCCTAAATATGCCTGGAAGGCCACAACGTTTGTTATACAATATCTATGCAATCTCATCATGAATTGGGTCCGAATTATAAACGATAAAATCAAAAACATTGGAGAGAATATCCCAGATAGCAAGGGTAACTTGCTACAAACTTGTGGCAGGGTGAAATTGTAATTTTGTTAACTTGCTGCACATATTCCTGGCAAGTTGTAGACTTGCAGAACACTCGCAGCACAAGTTTTAGTTGACACGTTTTGAATCTGTAGCAAATTTGCTTGGCAAGTCTAGAGCAAGAGTCCTGCATGTCTTAGCAAGAGCTCTGCAAGCTCGCTGGTCTGGAGACTTGCAATGCAAGTCTGCAATAATTTAGCAAGTCATTTTCAAACTTGCAGCTCAATTGCTTGCTATCTGGGATGGTATCATGGAGAAGGCTATTCCCCAAAGCTCAGTGGGTGCATGAGGGGGAATTAGTTATAACAAATATCCCAAACTTTGAACATTCCTTGGAGCACACATACATTTTTTAAATGGAAATAATACAGTCCAACCACAACTTCTCCTAGAAAAAAGCCAGCCACAAAAGTGGATAATGGGGGCATTAGTTAAATAAGCAATTAAGAAACAAGTGGTAACTCAGAAAGAGCTTCATAGATCAACTAGGGATGATCCTACTAATTGGTCCAACCATGAGTACCACCCAAAGCCAAGTTGATCTTGGTTCATGAAAATGGTGAACTATTGAGCCTATAGCAACCAATAACTGACAATGCACTTCCTGGCCATGCGACTTAGAAGGGCCAATAATGAGGGTTTTCCTATGTGCCAACCCCCATGCAGGGTTCCCAGCAGCCTTTGTTCAGTATGTGTTGGAGGAGGCAGTAGTTAGGAAAAGATCACAGACTTCAGTGAAAGCTAGGTGCTAATGTTGGTGCTGAATCCTGAAAACATCTAAATTTACATAGGGGTCTATTCACTATGCTGCCGAGGGCAGCCGAGTGAATGACTGATCAGAAGTGAAGTGAGCCGAACACTGTTCTGCTATTCACTTCAGGCTGGTACGGCTGATTTCAGCACACAGACTCACTAAAAGTTTGTTGTACAATGTTATAGCATATTTGAGAGAGATTTTTCCAGTGCTAGTCAGATGTTGGTGGTCAATGCTGAAAACATCCATATTTACTTTTTCACAGACACACTGAGGGGAATTTATCAAAACTGGAGCAGACAGAATATGGAGCAACTGTGCTTTGCAACCTAACCAATCAGCTTCTATTTTTCATATTCAAAGCTTAACCGGACAAACTGAATAGAAGCTGATTTGTTGCTATGGACAACTACTCCAAAATCTGTCTGCTCTAGTTTCGAGAAATCCCCCTCCCCAATGTGTTTAACACACATCTGTAGCAGGTTTGGGAGACAGCACATAGAGTTGATTTCTAAACAATTTGCAGAGCCGTTCACCCTGCAAATGCCTGTGAACATTTGTCTTATAAAAATACTGTATATGCACACAAGAAATATCTTTAGTTTTCTCTTTCACAAGTGTAATTTAATTTGAATGTTCTGATTGTAATATTAAATTTTGTCTACTAGATAGTGCTAAAGGAAATAACTATTTATTATTATGCTCCCATACTTAATATGGGATACATAAAATAAATAAATAAATAAATATAATGTTCCTCGGCTCCATCTAGTAGTGAATAGCTCTGCAAATTGCTTATAAATCAGCCACTTAGAGGGTTATTCACTATTCAGCTGAAGGATCCAGCCATAGCTTCAACTGAATTTTCGGCTCACTTTGACCGCCTGAGCCCTTTGGATCAGCCAAAGTGGCCGCCGAAGCTGCAACACCTTTTTAAAAAAAATTAAACTTTCGCTTACACAATAAATTAAATTGCAGTTGAGGCAATCAATTTGTTTTTTTTAGCTTTTCATTAGGGCTATCCCATTCTGCTAAAAGCACTGTGTGTGTATCTAAGATATTTCAACTTTGACATTTTAATTTCTGGAAAAAATCTCTGATTAAATGCAGAGAATCTTGTTTCACAGTGTGACAAACAATTGCATAACATGAGAACCAAGGAACATGTTTTACACACAACATTACTTTTTTATTGGCAGAGTGATTCAACCATAGTTTTAGTGTCACTTTATGTTGTTTAGTAATGTTTAAAAAATCAAATTCTGACCATATTATTTTCTGAAGTGTTAAGTATAGAATTTTCCACTTACCAACTGGAGACATTTCAGGAACACTGGCAACATAAGGGCCATCTAAAAACTTTGGCTCATTATCATTAATGTCTTGAACTTTTACTATGAACTCCGATTCTGGCTCCACTGGTTTTCCAGTGACAATATCCACAGCTTGAGCACGTAATGTATAGAATGGTTTTTCTTCTCTGTCCAAACTTTTAATTGCATGGATATCACCTGTAGTGTCATCAATTGTAAATATTGTGCCAGCTCCATCACCCAATAATGTGTATTTCACTGATCCAATCCCTTTGTCCAAGTCAGAGTGGAGCTGTAAAATAAAAAATAAAAAGTGATTGTACAGAAGCTTTTTTGAGTTGCTACCATTGTAAATTATGTTTTATATTAATGAATAGTAACACATTTTGGGTTAGGGGCAACCATGAGTTTTATCTGAACCTGAGCTGGTTGGGGATTGCTGAAAGGTCAAACTAAATTGGAAGCTTTTGCAAGTTTGCCCACCTGAACATCTGACTGTTTTACCTATAATTCAATCATTTAAATGGCAATATATGTTTTGTCACTAAATGCTGGCTTGTTCAAAATGTAATAATAGGATTCCAGGTGTTATAATTGACTATATATGACATTAGCCTTGTTCACCAGTGCTGCTATTTACATTGTAGCACTGAGAGCCCCCCACTCCTAAAGTATACCAGGCCACATGTCCTTAACATTGGGAGGGTTCCTTGCCAGAGTTCTCCTTTAAGCACAATCATAACTTACATTTAAACCCAATCACTCTGATCACTTAGAATGTTAGGTATGTTAATGTAATTTGAAAAGTCGATTTAATCTTTTTAAATCTACAATTTTTAGTATATTTAATTCATAATATCTATTATCCCCGCCACAT